ARSMWTKKKGGKTYMAAWTTAWACAAGAGCAAAGGTACKCATTRCAATAAACACATGATCGTAGAAGAAAACAAATGTGATYATCCTTACCATCTTTGACCAGTGAATCAGTTCGCGTGATACAAGTTGMAGAAGCTCGGAACGAGAAAAAGGGAGAAAGTACACCATTTCGTTAATCCGGCCAAGAAACTCATCCCGCTTAAAATGGTACTGAAAACAAACAAACAAACAAAGTAAAAATAAGTCAATGAATTATTATGAATAAAAGTTGTTCAAATAATAACAACACTCATTATCACATTTATTACAACTTCATTTCATAGCTCTTTTTATTTCCCTTTAATGCTTCATTCACAATTTTTACCTTCAAAATTGGTTGGACCACTTTTTCTTTAAACTTTCTTGATATCGTGATTTGTTCTGTTATSTCGCTTTCTGAGAGAAAATAATTAATTGTAGCWTGTTTGACTGATGTCCATYAAAATAATACAAACAATGAGAAACYGATATGAGTGAAGAAGATAGAGGGTAATAGCATCCTCACAGGTATCACTTTTCTCCTTAAAAATAATGGGAATAGTCAATAAAAATAAAAGGRGACRTCCAGTCCTCYCTCTTCCTTATTTTTCCATAGGGAATCCAAAAGAATTCTTACATGGAACTCWTGGAACTACCGTAGTCTGCTCTATAARCATAATCTTACCATCTTTTCTATTGGCTGCAGCCTCTTGTGCTTCTTGCCTCAATTCAAGTGCATGATTAGCTATTTCATTACTGGCCAAGTTTGATGTCATGACAAATATTGCATCTTTACATTCAATGGTCTTTCCTTTCCCATCGGTAAGTCTTCCCTGAGAGTATCAAAGCAAGTTACAACGCATTGTAAATATCATTTTTAGGAGAAAATAGTTAAAATCATTTGCAAAACAGGACAACCTTATAAATTATTAAAATAAAATAAAAATAAATAAATTATTAACGATGGAATTTGATAACTTTAATTTATCATCACATCTACATATATCATTACAATTACTACTACTCACCTCATCAAATAATTGAAGCATTACTGTCAATACATCAGGATGAGCTTTATCAACCTAATAAATATTCTGTATTTATAGTACATCTAATTGAAAGGAGTTTGTCATAATATGGGAAGAACATCAGGGTAGAAACAATTTCTTCCATGTATAGATATGAATATGAAGATATGAATATGARGACCGCATGGCACTATGATAAACACGATATAGAAATGAAAGAAAGTTATAGTGCTTAGAAGGAGGCAATTCCGGGAGAAGTCCCTTAGGAATAAATTCGGAAAAATTAATTTCCGACCTCGCTGGGATTCGAACCAACGACCTTCGGATTTGTACACCGATGCTCTACCAGCTGAGCTACAAGGCCTTCCATGTATAGATGGGTTGGTAACAGTTGCACAGAGGCAATCTTGCAATTATATCAAAATAGACATGACTTTTGGCAACAATGATATTGGACAAGTACTCAAGAAGATTTCAAACAACTTTTGAAGTTCCATGTATTTGAAATTTCTGAAGACTAGGAATAGTATTGTATAATTATGTAAAACTAGGATCTTCAACAACACTGCTTAAATCTGGTTCCAAAAGGTTCAGTCCAGGTGTCTACCTATGGCTTGATTATGTTACCTCATCAAAAAGCACCACAGCATTTGGACATTCTTTTAACTGCTTTGTCAGTTGTCCCCCCTGATCATGACCTATATATCCWGGGGGAGCCCCTATCAKTTTAGMCACTTCATGTTTTTCTTGGTATTCTGACATGTCAAGACGAATAAAACCCTGAAGAAAAATTTGTTTACAATTTATTATCTCATAGTAAAAGACTAGAATTTTGTATGCTTTTCAAGTTACCTTTTTGTTGCCTTTGTGAATATAATTTGCTATCTGTTTTGCAAGCTCAGTTTTCCCTGAAAAAAGTTATAAAAAAGTGAAAAAATGAAAGGATAATGTAATGAACAAGGAATGTGGAAAATAACTGATAAAAATGCTCAAGCAAAAATAATTGCAAATTTTGAAACAATAGATTGCATTTGCTTTATGAGTGAAACAATATGATGCATAAGAAATATAAAATCCAACTGTTGTCCAACTTTAAAATGTTTCAAATAATTTAAATAATAAAAAATACAATCTATCATAAGATTGCAAACTATATTCATTATCTATTTCTTCCWTTTACCAATTCCAGAAGAACCCAAGAACAGAAACACCAATGGATGATCCTTGTCTTGCCAGCCATTTTCCTTTCTCCTGATAGCTATAAACATAACATTTAACAATCACAACCAAAAACATCTGCATTTATCACAACAATCGAGTTACCTCCAGCAACAGTAAGAATAGCTCCTTGTTGACCAACTATATTTTCTTTAAGTCTTTTTTCAAGTGGATATCTCYGTCTTTCCTCAAGTTCCTTCTCTTTCTTTTCTTCTTCAAACTACATTAATTTGCATCAAGTCACCATATCAAGAACTTTTGATATTACATGTAACCACACATAACAACTGTATTGAAAGAAACAAGAAATTCTAGTGGCTCACACCTTAACACTGTAYTCTTTTATTGCATTGATAACACTTGGATTCCTTGTGTAACTAGTGGCTGAGTGGCCTGAATCATCTCTTAATGATGGATCAGCTCCTAAAAGAATTGACACTGATTCACTGAATGGTTCCATTCTTTCACACAGTACAAAATAATTGAAAAATGCATGGTTCAATTAATTTTTGACTATTCTCATATTTCCGGTGCATAGCCTCATTTCTAGGATAGAAAATATTAAAACAATCATTATTCAAAGTTAAGCCTTATACTCGCACTGGAAATTTGAGAATTGTCAATGACAGTGTTTATTTCACCAATGACAAATGTGGACATTTTATATTTTCTGAGTAGTCTTGAGTATGTTACCTGACTTGAGGAGAAGCATGACGCAATCAACACTGTCAATCAGTGCTGCGTAATGGAGTGGTGTAAATCCAGAGAAGTTGGCTCCCTTGCTTAGTCTGTCACTGAAGTTATTGTCTCTTTCCATTATAACTAATACAAAATAAACAGAGCTAAAATCATTTATATTACCTTTAGTTAATACTGTTGCTCAAAACAATATTGTTTATAATAAGTCATGGGTTTATATAATATAAGTGTTTATTGTTATCATTATCAGAATGATCATCATCATCATCATCATCATTAAAACACATCAAAGAAAACAATTGACATATTGTGTTACAGTATACCTTGATGATATGTTATGTTATTCTTTCTAGCTGCTTTATAAACTGTGGAAAACTCTTCAATAGCATTCGGATCAGCACCTGCATCAAGGAGAATCTGAAGGACTCTGAAGAGGAGACAATACAATTGTTTACAGCACTTTTCAATATTATGGACATGAGTTGCCTGGGCTCACATGGGTATTTTGACTGCCCATAAACAGCAACTGAATCAGTTGGATTGCTTTGTGAGACACGCCTTTATTAGCACTATGATGATTATGAAGCATCTGTATTATTTCAAATGATTGGTTCATCTCAAATAGAACAATCAATGGACCTTCAATTGATTGGAGCCAAAATATGTTTTGAATGATAGCAGCACATGMCATATTAAACCATTCTGTGATTAAAACCAAAACCTACAGCAATAGTGTATAAAACATTTCACACACTTGTCATTTCCATTGATGGCAGCAATGTGGATGGGTGTCCAGCCAAGTGGGTGTCTCTGATTGACATCAATGCCTTGACTTATTAACCTTAGTATAATAAKAAAAATAAATGAATACTTTACTATTTGTTACATATTTTGCATGTTACATTTACTTTGAAGATAGTTGTTAGACTAACAAACTTTTGGCTGTCTAAAATACTTCCATATATACTAATGACTTTAAACCAGTCATACATTCTGTTCATTGATACTTTTTGATTGCTGAAAGAGCATGCAGATCCTCAATACATTGTTGTAGAGACAAATGTTTTATTGTGTTGTCTGAAACGTGCCACGAGGGTGTCAAACTTAGTAATTGACACATGATCTACATTATTTACATAATTAACTAAATGTTTAACTAAAAGGTCCCTAAATATTGTCTAAGTATTCTTCCTGACAGATACTGCTCAAGATGAGTCATTTCAGGTGCAAAAAAATTCTATTTTTCTATAGATTTTGCATGAAAACTGACCACACACATAGGCTACAACATTCAAAGAATCTTACAGGTTGATTGCATCTTTAAAAAATTAACTTTACCTTCTCAATTCGGTTACATCATTCTGCTTCACTGATTTAAACATTTGCTGGGTTGTATCTGTTTAAAAATAAACAAGATGCTCTTAGATTGATTACTTGTGCCCCATGAAAGATTGAAACATAAGTGTTTATAGGGTTTATGCAGAAGGGTTTTGGACAACATCTGGTGAAGGTTTATTTTAAACTCTCTGGTAGCCCAGGCACAATTAAAGACTGGCAACAAGACAGTAAAATGTTCTCTTGTTTGCTGAATCTAAATTTAATGTTTTATTTTATTTCATTTTTTTCTTCGTATCCTAGCTGGCAATCACATGCAATGATTTTCTTTGTATCCTCATGCACTGTTTTTTTTTGTTTTTTGTTTTCAAGATGTGCCCATTTCACAGTATCCTGAATTTTGCTGGCCTTTTGAGCAGACCATGGCCTCTGGCCTTTTCATGGCCTGACATTTTTTCACTATATCGGTAAATAACATCTATTCAATACCATTTTAATTTCATGTTGTTATGATGGTATTATATGACTGGGATGCACATCTACAGTCTTTGTCAAAAATCGCACTGTTTCCAGGTCAATTTTTTGAATATCACGCAAGATGATAGGCTACACATTGCATCAGGTGGTATAAAATTTGTTTTAAGAATTATTGTACGACAACGAAAAATACAAACTTCTTCAAAGGTATTGTTAAAATATACATTATCCATTTTACGATTATTCTAGTTTAAAAGATCGAGATAATATGACATAGATGTAACCTTAGTACTCACTCGAAGACATGCAGAACGCGACCCCAGCAAAACAAGTTGCCCCGGCAAAAACAAAGCCCCATTTCTTTGCATCTGAAATGCGCAATGCTGGTAGTACACTAGGGCGATTGCTTGTAAGTCTGAGCAGTAATAAAAGCCTTCTTTGCGGGTAAAAAAAGTTTTTCTTAGAAATAAAACGCCTCAACATAGAAAACGTGCGAARCATTTTTTGGTGATTTCCAAGGAAAATCGCGGGGAGACTGGGTATAAGACGAGTCTTTTTAGTCAGCGGATAACATACGGAAAACAAAATGGCGTCCTGATGAGAGGCTCTTACTGTTGGCTTTTAAAATTTATTGAAAACTGTATTCTTATCAAGGTTTCTTACAATCCAATCAATTATGCAGCAACCAAAGATAGCTGTAGATGCATTTGGGTATGTGTATTTTCTTGTGTTGCGCGAAGTTGCATGTATTTCAATATGAAAACCATCTTTTRTCATCAGTCTCTGGTCATCTCCTCTCATCTTTGTCAAGTTTAAAATCAATTCCTTTTTAATGCTATTTTTAGTCCTAGAGAACGTCAAGTGCTCATAACACTTTTAAAGTTTACARTTGGTATGGTTGTAGTTCCTATTAGTGCTTTCTTTTTTTCGAAATGGATGATTTTTGAAGGTAAGTTGGTTATTATTAAAAAAAACATCTTAGTTAAGTTATAGACCTTTCGTTTCCACGGCTATATTCATGCTGCTGTACATTAGACACAGATGCACACAGCCAACATCAACTTAAATTTCGTTTAATGTTATGTTATGTATGTTTGATACTGCAAGTGTTCTAAGGGTGGGTCAAAGTATGTCTCAAACATTTAAGCGGTTTTTGGTACATATGAAATATAACCACCAAAACTTGTCTTGATCTGATTGTGAATTTGTTTCAGGATTTCTGGGTTATGCCAATGGTGCAATAGGGGCAGCAATAATCACCGTCATCATAATACATATCATCATCTCAATGTATATTGTTGTTGCTATAAGAGAAGAGCCAGTCAAAAAACAAGAATAACAATGTTATTGGTGTACTATAATCAAAATATTTAAAGAGTTCTTATTGGAGGAGATTCTGCAAGCAAGACATAAGACTTGACTGATGCCCCATTTAAGAAAATGACCAAATAGCTCTACACATTCAGTAAAATWGGGTGTAGGAATTATAACCTTGAACTGATAAACTAAGTAGATAATAATAGAGTAGTTTATGGTGTTTTATGATAGCAATGATAATAATTTTGTCTTATAAAATATACTGTTAATTTGGATCATTTGTATAGAATTATTGAAAGCACATTTACAACACGGCATTCTATGGATAAAGTGCCAGGATGAAATCAAATTCTTCATACAGTGCGGCTACTGAAACTGGGGCCACCTAGAGAATGTAAAATAATCACAATTTCCATTGAAAACAAGGCTTAAAAAGCTAAAAAACGATGATCAGTGATATTTCAAAGAACTAAAGCTTAATGAGATGAGGTTTCCTTAGTCTGAATCCTTTGTTTTCAATCTAAATTGTGGGATTTTATATTCTCTAGGTGGCCCCGGTTTCAGTAGCCGCACTGTAAATCTATCCTAGTAGAATAAGGAAACTTTAATGACATTTTAGAGGTTAGTCAGAGAAAAATGATGAAGTCATTTGAAACATTAGTTCTACCTTGGTTCCACTTATTTTTTACAATATATGATTATTTACTATTTKAAAACAATTGCTTCATTGGCAGCACAGATAAAACTCTCAGTAGAATTGTGCTTTCCATGATTACTCAATCAGAAACACTGATTTTGACTCRTGCTATAACTTCTGATATTTTTTAGTTTAAATCCATAGTAATGAATTATAGATTATTTTAGATGACTTGACTTGAAGGCAAAAGAATCTCATCATCTTCACTATCAGAAGCAATTTGAAAGCGGTACATAGGTGTCTGTAAAAGAGTAAAACAAAGATTGAATTATTCATGTTTGAAGTGGTTCATTTATCCTGGTTGTATTTGATATTTTAGATGAACCAATAGACTTTTCTGTCCCAAAATAAATAGGGAACAAAAACCTCAATAGAGCAGATTTCGTGGATTATCCCTTATGAGGGATAGGGTGGATGGTTTTGTCTGTTCACTGTAGATTTTTGCCTTGCAGGAAATTTAGCTTTAAAAAATCTTTCCCCCCAACCCACCTTCAAATGTTTACTGGTTAGCCCCTAACTTTAGGTTGTGCTGTCGTCTGTGACAAACCTTTTATACATACCAAGTTATAATAACAGTATTATAAGAATTATGAATAAAATAAGAATTTATGTCAATTAGTAGTACATTTTTACCTTGTTATCTTGTTGTTTGAGGTGCTTGTAAAATGAAAACACGCATAAAACACAGTACATCTAAAATAAATGGATAAAAAATATATTTATGAAAATAAARCAGGGAARTCAACACTTCAAAAKTTTTTTTYAGTGKCCACAAATTTACTTTACACAACATTACAGAAAAAAAAACTATCTTTTCAAAAGTTTTCTCTTGGTTATTTGAAAACCTAACACTSACATTCATTTGTGACTTATTCTTATTTTGCAATTATTCCTTTCAATTTCTTTCCACTTTTGTGCAAAGATTTGACATAATATAGATAGTAAAAGGTGCAATATTGCATTTTGTTCCCAATCAGTGTATACATGTATATTATTTCTATTTCCAACTATAGCTTACGTTGATCACCAAGAACACACTGTCACCAATGTAAACTGAGGCCCTGAGCTGTCGAGATTAATAAGATATAAATACATTGAATAATAATTTTTAAATTGAATAATTAATAATAATTAGTAATTAATTTATTGATTAATAATAATTATTAATTAATCATTTTTTTTTAAATTATCTATTTTTTTTTATAATTGTTAGTGTTATATAATAGTTAGGTCCAATAAGTATAACATAAGTCAATATCTGTTTAATGACCAACTATATGTATTAGTGTAATCCATAAAATTACCTTGATTGTCTTGATGATGTAATACATGACAATAATGACATCCAAAAATTCTTCAAAAACTACCCAACAAATCCATGGAAGCAAAAGTTTCTTTTTGCTCTGTTAACCAAAGCATGGAAAAAAATCACTTGTGAGAACATGCAGATGGAAAAAAGGAATGAGAGAATAGTCTCCTTCACGGTTACYTTCGCCATCTTGAAAGGTACCCGTGCCTTTGCATCGAAGCGAGACAACCGTTGAGCATGCAATGATAGATACCTGTGAATAATTGTCTGTAGGTGTGAAAGAAGGTTTCTATCATTGCACGCTCAAYGGTTGTCTCGCTTCAATCTAAAGGCACGGCTACCTTTCAAGATGGCGCAGGTAACCGTGAAGGARACTATTGTAAATATGAAATCTAATAATGCAATGAAAAAAAAAATGATTAGAAACAAGACTGGTATAAATAAATTTACTTAAGATAACGTCACTAATAACTTAGAAGGTAACTAAAGGAAGATTTAGAAAACTAAAGCATGTAGGTTTGAGTATTATTTATTTATTCATTATTTMAATATTACCTTGACTGTACCAAGTAATAACAGAACAGCAACAATGATTGTAATTGCTGAGACTGCTGTCTGGATGTAGCTGATTGTAGACAAAACTAACCAAATCAAGTATACAAAGAAAATGTTGATTTTGTAAAGCTACAACATGGTTACTGGTCCCCCTTGGAAACATCCCTGTACTCTGTCAGGCACCACAGAGTATATTTTTTACCGGGTTGGGGGGGGAGCATTTTTTTCGAGAAGCACTAGAGATGAATTAGATGAATGTTTTTCAAAATGATCAGGAAAATGGACAGGGTCTGCGGTGTCTGTCTGTCCCTTTGGTACACAGAGAGAGACAGAATCTATATAATGTAACCCATCTCCTCAATTCAAAATTTCAGGATGGAATTTATGGTTATAAATTAGACACCACCCATTCCATTTCCCATAATAAGAAAATTTTCGGTTTCAAGCGATCTACCACTCTTCAATTTCCAGCTGTAATTAGATTGAGTAATCTGGGGGTTCAGTTTTAACGGYTTGTACTTGTTAAAGCACAAATAATAATCAGTATACACAGGGTCATCATCTCAACCCCCCCTGGATCAACCCCTGTGTGCTATTCTTGATATACTTTGAATGCCCTTACCATTRATTGGCACAGGGAGGTCTGCTATTTGTGTTTTAGTAAGTCTGTGTAAGAATAACATATTGAACCAGAGGAAGTAAATCCTTAGTATCCCAATAATCTAAAACAAGAAAGATACATCTTTACATAATATTTGTATCAAAATTCACAAATTTCAAAAGAAGAAATGTTTGTCTACAAACTTTTGCTTTCTAGTGGCTCTTACCAGTGATCCAATCCCGCACATTATGCTTCCTTCTTTTGTAGAAAAACAGCACAGAAACTTTTTCATTTTCATGACTGGAAGATGTACAAAGTAAACGTTTGAAAAAGTGGCAGGTTTTGAACCGAAGAAATATCTCTTATACTGAATTGACAAAAGAGTTAACCTGACGTTAACAAGACGTTGATCCGAAACCCGAGTTGGCTTTCACGTCTTGGAGGATGTTAATATCCAATAGGCTTCTTCAAAAGAAAATAAAAGACAAAAAGTGTATCGTTCTTTTAAGAGACACAGCCAATCAGAGAATTCGTTCCGAGAGAGGTGAAGACGTACGTATGTGATCCGAAAGTGATGTCACTTTCGAATATCAAAACTCATTCACGTTACAGAGCCGAATGTTGCTATTTTCGTGGTTTCAGGGAAACCCCCGCACTTAACAGACACTTCGGGACTTCGGACGTCATTACGACATTCCAGTCCCGGCCTCCCTTTCGACCCGMTCCTGAAATCCCGGGGACCAGACCAGAAATTAATGTTTATTATTTTAGGTAACGACATGGAACAATGCATTGTTTGAATTGTTTTGAYACAGGATGGTGATGGCGTTTTACACGGTCGCTCGATCGACTAAAAACTACGCAAATGCCTTTCGATATCAACTTTTCGAATTGAAGACCAGACTAAGTGGCTATCGAAGTCGATTTTTGAGTACAGGGTAAGTGTGAATGTTGCATTTTGACCGTGGTGTGTTAGGCATTTTATGCAGATATCATTGCCGGGCAACAAAAATAGTCTGAAGTCATATATGTCTCGAGTAATRCAAGTGTAAACTGAATTGTAGAAAATCAAAAATAGTTTCAGCCTTAAATATATGTATTGAGCTGTTTGATAGTCAACGAAGTTCGCGGG